AACAAACTACCTCACCCTTCCGGTCTTTGTAGTGTAGAGATGATGTTCGGCTTTGGAGCCACTCATCGTTCGTAATCGCCTACGAGACGCAGGTGGTGACGGTGAAGATCGAGGGCACACTCCATTCACCAATTCGTTCACCGATGAACCTGTAGTAATTCTATCAAGGGTTGGACCTAGAGAACATTTTAACAGCGACAAGCAGGCAAAACAAAGGAAGGCGCAGTTCGGCGACGGGGAGGGGCATTTTTCACTTTCGCTGCTTCACTGATTACGGCTTACAAGTTTCACCCTGGTGAAACCTGTCAACTCCTCCAGGCTAACGAAATAGCTCAGGAAATGAATAGCATCATGAATTTACAAGAGTTGACGGGTATTCTTTACAAGAGCTGGCCAGTGGTTTCCATTAACTTTGGCTGGTATCAATACATGGCTTCACATGGTTTCACAGGTCCGCACATGATAGATCACGTGTAGATGAGACGTAGCAAAAGTGCAAAATGCCCCACCCTGTCGCCAAACCCCGCCCAAGGGAATTCCAAAAAAGCGTACGACACATAGCTGAGCATGACTACATAAGCTTACCGCTTCGTTTCACACAATTTTTTGCTTCAAATGTGATTTGCGTTAGAAGTAAAATATATCTAAAAGTACAGAGAAAAAACATGGCTGCGTAGAACGAAAAGCAATTCTACCTGAAGAGTTGCAGTAATCAATTACTTCTCCGATTTGTACGCTTTTCTGAACCTTTTCGTCGTCTGTTCCATTTTCGGAAGGCTCAGGCATACCTGGAAAATGGTTGTCTTTAAGGACTATTATTCCGGGAAAGTGGCTAACCTAGGGGAAGGAGGGGGGTGGGGGGAGGGCACTCCGCGCCTCTGTTTCGCGTCCCATGCTTAGACCTGCAGCGCAAAGGGCAAGAGTCGCCGAGGGTTAGAGAAAGATCTTTCTGAGCCGTGGGAAAATTTTTCCCGTTTGCTGACGTTCCTCGTGACTGGTGACTTGCAGGTTTTTCCTTTACATATTCGCTATAATATCCACCGAGACGTGGTCTCACGAACACCTGCAGGGCCAGCCGATGTACAAGTCAGTGTTTTATCCTCCCAGACGAATCTGGTACCAATTTACCGTCCCCGGAGGATAGAAGGCTTGGTTGGCCTGGGCGGATTGAGCCACGGAACGCGGGCGTGATAACTCCCATACAACTGCTTTTCTGATCGTGGGATCTAACAGTTGATTAGTGTGACAACCTCCTTTCTCCCCTCTCCCTCCCTTCTGCATACGCCCCAATTTCGGGAAAAACCGAAAAATCTCTTGAAAACTGAAAAAGGTGGGACGCTTGGGAGATCTCGGGAAGATGGTAGCTAGGAGAGGAGGGTAGCGCTAGATGAGGAAATCAGAAGGTGGGGGTCATAAGGACACCGCTATCACACATCATGGTGCTGAACACTGCTCACAGAAAAGACATAGTATCCACTCTGTCAGCATAAGAGCGCGTTCATACTTCGCTCGGATGCACTATTCGATCGCAAATAAATGCAAAGAAAATAAAAAGGAAATTCGAAGGTTTTTTAACCGAAATGCAATTTTTTGTGCTGCGCTTTTGTGCTTCTTTCGTACTGTTTTCTTTAAATTTCGTGCATTTAACTATCGATTAGCGGATCGCCTGTGCGATTTGAGCGACCGGACCGCGAAGTGTGAACGGAGCTCTCCGTTCGTCAGAGTACGGGCTCAGATGCTATTCTCCCCCCCCCCCCCCAAAGCGTACACCACCGTTGTATGAAACACAGAAGGCCGTACTCTTCGGCAGGATAAGGGGTCGTATGGGTCGTTGTTGGGAGAGTGGGGGTCGTATGAGGCTTTTGAGAGAAATTTGCCGCATTTCCTCGGATGTTGACTTTTCGCGTGATTTTTTTCCTGTTTCATGCGTATTTTATACCTCCCCCCCACTCGACAGCGAAATTTTCTTGTGCACAACTGGGAAATGTGGGAAATTGGTAGGTAGGTGCTGTGAAGGTGGGGGGAGAGTCGTACCGAAAGCCTCCCCTAGGTGGGAGGAGGGTCGTACCAAGACCCTCCTCGAGTGGGGGGGGATGTCGTACTGACACGATCACTTTCACACATTGCGATGCTGTACCCTGCCGCCTATAAATTCAGCACTCAAAGCGATGCGACTTCACATGTTCGCACAAAAATGACACCCAGCATTACACTCAGGGCACGCCCTGCCGTTTGGGAGAGGGGTGTACGGTTTTTGCAAGATACAACGCAGTTCCTCCCTTCCTACGGTACGACCGTCTTCACTCCACTCAACCTATTTACCATCTCCCTAAATTTCCCTAGTTAACTCCTTTTCTGCAGTTTTTCAATTTTTTTTCTGAAAAACTCCAGTTTTCCCTCAAAAACTGCCCATTGGGCGAAGGGGTATGTAGAGCACGTGAAACGGAAAACCAAGATAAGTCACAACCCGAAACATTTTCCTAATAGGCCAGTACAACCCCACCCCCTAACCCTTCCAGCGACCAAATAGACCTCCTGCTGGGGATCACCGATGACGTACCCTGATTACACTAGCGCAAGGTGGATTTCAAACTAGTTGTGGGTGCTTAGAACGAGTGTAAAATCGAACCAAATCTTCAGAGAGTGGACAAAGGACCATTATGACTGGAACAAATAGGCAATAGGAGTACGAGTAGAGCGGGGTAGAAAAGGTCGCCAGTGCAGTACAACATGATATAAGTAGTGCGATGCGTAGGAAGATATGACGATAAAGCACACAAGACAAAGGAATTCCAAGAAGCTGCCGATGCTGTGAACTGAGAAATCAAAGAGCATTCAACGTCAGTGAACTTGCGAGCAAGATCTACAAGACCCCGATAGTGTTCATGTATTAATTCTTCAGTGTGTATTAATCTTAGCAAATTCACGTGAATTTATGTTTTGAAAAGAATATACAAGTAGAATCATACGCTCATAGCTGGAGCTGATTTGGGTGCTCTTGACTTGGGAGGGACATTTTACACTTTCGCTGTTCCGGTAAATTACACATCCCATCTTGGAGACTAATAGACTCCTGTCAAGTGTAAAGGAAGCTCCTGTTACAGCATGCTTCACAGGAATTTACAGCCCCCCCCGTACTCCTGGTCAGGACACCGAATTGTGGCTCACACTGCATCAGCATGATCAATGTGAGCCACAATTCGATGTCCTGATCACGATTACGACATTCGTTTTTGACGCCGGCGCCATCTGGCGCCCCTAGGCGCCAATTTAGCGCCACCACTTTTCTCACAGAAATCGGCGTAAACCTGTATACTCCGGTTGTTTGGTACCCTGATCACGAACATGACATTAATTTTTATCCCTGGCGCCATTAGAAGCCAATTTGGCGCCCCATCTTCTTCACCAGAACCTATAAAAATTTGCATAATACGGTTGTTCGATGCCCTCACCACAGTATGACATTCATTTTTCGACAGCAGCTCGTTTTAACGCTTTGCTAAGGTTCAGCATGGGAGAAGGAGTGATTCCCCTCAAGAGGCTCAGCATTAGTAAAGCGCAGATGATTGCAGTGTCCTCCATTAGTGCCAGCGCCGACAGTGAATACCATATTTAAGTAATCATCGTTTTTTTACACAACTAAACAGATATACAAATAATAAACGTAGTCAGGATGTCTAATAACCCCGTGTACAAGTTTTCCGCGGATTTGGTGATCTAGGTTATCTTGCCGCCGGCACCAGGCAGCTTGATGCCAAGCGGATGTGATATTCGCCTTCAGTAGGTCAAACTACCCATAGAACCGAGTTCCCACTCATATATACCCATTAGAAAGAGGTCTGTCAGAACCGATCTATTTTAGGTAGATTGGGGTAGTACTAGCTGAATAGTGCCAACATTTCGTTAGAGCTGCACGAACTCCCTTCCTTATCACCGCGTTAGGGTCACACCATCGCGCATGCTCTGCTGAGCCCGTTCATACTTTGCCACACCCCAGAATCGTTGGTCCGGAAATCATTGGGAAGCGAAGTGTGCGAGTTAATCTGCTGACAGAAGACCAGGAAATCAAAGAGTCCACGAAAAAAGCAGATACGTATCGATTGGTTTTTGATTCTCAAAATCTTCCACTCCCCACTGGCGCAGGGTCTGAACGCTGCGTAAACATTACTACAAACAAAAACAACGTCAGCTCGAAATCGCTCGTCTGGATCAGGGTTCAATAGTCCACGTGAACCAAACATCGAATGAGACCGGAAAAATCACTGATTTAAAAAAACCAGCGTAGTGATAGCCTCCAACTAGAAATTCCGAGGATTACAGAAAGAGAAAAAAAACAAAAAAAAGAAATAAAGAAATACTGTGAAGGTCTTCCTACTTGGGGTTCAGTTAGCCTAAGTTTGATTCGCTTATTCCACTAGTTCCTTCCAATTTGTGATATATAAGAGAGTGAATGTGAAAGGAAGATTCTAAGCTAGATCCAATAGCATTGCGAAGTGGAGACACATTTAACAAAAAATTGAAACGATGTGACTTTACGTCATTAGCTTTGGCGCGCAAAATATTACGCTGGAGCGCGAAACCTAAACAAGCATTTCTTGTTTGTCCTTCCCAGAACGTTAGTTGAAACCTTTTTCCATACGTTACTTTTTATTTCGATGTTGACGTCTTACATTCCAAATTTATTCCAAGCCTGTCCATTGCTGTATGGAACTCAAGATATTATCTTGGGTACCTTTCTGTCATGTCGTGGTGAGACCCGAATTTTTCCTGTTGTAGATTTAGCGGCGAGTCGTGAGAAGAAGCAACTTTTTTATGAGTTGAGAAGTGCATGTATTAGACACTATCTCTTTCCGTCTCATTTCTTCTCACTGACCTCTCGGGTAAGGCGAACTGTGTTGCTTAATAACGTTCTGCTAAAATGAGGGTACAGGTACTTATTGGACCGAAAACAAGCGGGAAATGGCACGGTAGCGAGAAGCTAACCCAGTTTTGAAAGCTTACCTCTTGGGGAATAGTGGGCTCCGGAAAGTGATCAAACCAGAGGTCAAGATCGCTCAACTGTACAGTTCCTTGTTTCCTTCTATTCTCCAAGTTACAGGGAATCTGTCCCGTTAAACTTGTGTCGTGGTGTAGCCTCAGTACTTAATTTAGGCCAGACAACTCCATACAGCCCCTACAGTAGGATTTGTGTATCCCCGATGCATACACCCCACCTAGTTGACTCTATGGATCATTTAGGCGTCGAATCAGTTAGGTCATGGCATTTTACGTCCCATACCGTCTAGTTTTCATCTCAAATAGTTCAGTACATATTTTTGCGGCCACAGAACCACCCGACACTCTAGCAGCCTGCAGTCTTCACGTCGAAGTTGTTGCAGCAGGCTCCAATACTGTAGACGAGAACCCAGTCGTAGGCGGGAATCGATCGGCGCCGGCCGCCGCTTTTGAGAGTGTGTGGGAGTGGGAGGGGACCAGACTGTGTGAAGGTAGCATCTACCCTCCTATTATCCTATACTCTCTCAAAACGCAAACGGCCTGCACCGATCGATTCCCGTCGGAAGCTGCGTTCGCCAAGGGTAGCGCGTCGACGCGCGCTACAGTGTATCGGCGGTCGCCAACGCGAACAATGGACATGCCTAGCGTAGTTGAGAGAGCGCTTCTCGGCTAATGCCGTTTGGACTCCAGCAATTTCGGCACCGAGCTCATTTTTAAATTGCCTAAGTCACCAAATCCGCTAAAAACTTGTATATAGGGGTAGTTTAACATCCTGATTACGAATATGACATTCACTCTTGCCGCTGGCGCATGACACTACGATTATCTGCGCTCTGCTAAGGCTGAGCCCAAGAGGTAATCGTAGTGTCATCTCTTGGCGCCAGCGCCAAGAATGAGTGTCATAATTGTAATCACGATGGTAAATAACCCTTGTGTACATGTTTTCAGCGGGTTTGGTGACTTAGGCAATTTAAAAATGAGCTCGGTGCCGAATTGCTGGAGTCCAAACGGCATTAGCCGCGGGCTGCGCTTCCGCGTCTCTACCTATAGCTGGGACTCAGAATTAGAGTGCAGACGACCAGAGAGAGTCATGAGAGGTAGTTATGCAGAAACAACGGGGATCTCACTATGGTTGAGACTCGATTCGATGGAAGGTACATAGAAGTTCCTCCCCTATCTTAAAACATTTTACTGATGACTTCTTCGCCGCGCAGCTGCGCTACGAGGTGATCCCTTCCGTTCCTGAAATGCAGCATCAGAAGCGGGCTGACGACCAGGGAGGGAGCGCACGGGCTTCGGCCAGGGCGCACTGGAGCAGAAATTACTGTGCGCCTCCTCCCCATTGCAGTAACTCCAAAAACTGGAGGCTGTAAAATCAATAAACCTTTCCTTTCCTTGAAGTGTGTCCACAAAGAATTTTTCCTTTCTTATGTGTAGGAAAATACTGCCTTCATTAGTGATCGGGTTTTTTTGTTTCCGTTTTCACTCCCGACTGTGAAATATTTTAGGTTTATATGACCCTTTCCCGAATAAGTCCATACTGATGTTTAGCGGCTCTTCTCCTGTCACTTCCTGAATGTGATCCATTCCTCAGATAGTTTTCAACCTTCAGGCGCGGAAAAAGAACGTATCGATTTTACGCGCGCAGGATCAACACCCATGCAAACGGGACTACGTCAACGCTTTGCACCATGTTTTATCTATTTTTCGCACAACTACCATGTTGTATTGGTTTTGCTTTGAGGCCTCCATATTCTCCGCACAGGGCACATCATTGGTTGGGGATTTTAGTCGAGTCCATACGAACCCTCCTCCCTTTTTTGAGGAGTTGGTACGACTCCCCCTTCTACAATTCTCAGATTCCCCAAATTCCTGCCAATTTTTCCAAAATTTCCCGAAAACTTCCCTACTTTTTCCCAAAAATTTTGCTGTCGAGGGGAGGGGAGGGGGGTATATAGTACACATGAAACAGGAAAATCACGAAAAGTCAACCACCTCTCCCAGAAGGCCAGAAAGTAAGCAAAAAGTAAATACGACCCCCCCCCCTCTTTTACAACGTCCGTGAAGCGAGAAAAATCAACTATCAAAATAAATTTTCCTCAGCCCAAATACGACCCCCCTCTCCTGGCGGCCAAATACGACCCTCCCCCTGTTGGCGATTCCCCAACAACGATGTGCCCTGTTCTCCAGTGGATATGTGACAAGACAATCGTAATTTGCCGCACCTCGCATGCGACGTCGCGCTCGTTAATGATGATGTTTGTAGGTTGTAGATGGCGACAGTAGACAATGTATAACCGAAAATGGCCACAGCTGTCTACGATGTCGTAGTACACATGAAATGCTATGCTCCAGTTGGCAGGATAAGACAAGAAACGCCGCGCCCGTCGCCGTGCGCGACGGAGCGACGAAATACGATTGTCTTGACCGTCTCCCTTTTCTACTCATGAACAGAACGTCGGCAATCTATCGTGGATCTATCTTAGTATTCGGTTTCAGTGTATGCGTTACTCTCTACTGTTACGAGCCACAGTCAAGGAAGTTCAAAAGTTGATCAAACACGATTTGGGTATTGTCGAGCAGGACAAGTTTACGATACGAGTAAGCGCTGGTTCCGGAGGACACGGCTTATCACGGTGGGGAACTTGAGCTTTAACTATCCAGACAAGGCTCGCTCCTCGTAACTTTTCAGGGTCCTTCGGGTGTTTCCTACGGTTTACTGTCGTCCTTGGTGGTTCTCCAGAAACCATCTGACGCCCTTATTTAGACTTTCTTGGGGGAGGGGTATTCGATTTAGTCTAATGGAAACGTTTCATTGTTCCGCTCGTAGGCACACTACCCGGTCAAGGGGCAGAAAAAAGTACACTTTGCGCAGGTAAGTACCCCTAGAATATTTTTTGTGCGGAGTGATGGGTCAGTGGGTGCACATGTGCTCTTGGCCGTATTCACGGCACAGGGTAGGGTTCAGCGATATATCCCTTATCCTTTTTGAGCATTACGCTAACTTCAGGAACTTTTTTCCAGCTCAATAGACTTTTTTCGAGAATCAAAGCTTTGCAGGTACGATGGTCGTGGAGGAAACGGAGGAAGTGTCTACGTAAGGGCACTGCCGAATATGGCATTCTCCGACATCAGGAAACGCCTGGGTGGAAAAATGAGGTTGAAAGCCGTGAGCGGCACTTCCAGTAAGAAGGTGAAGCTGGTTGGCGACGACGGAGAAGACACGGTATGTACTTGCGAGAATTCCATCGGAGCATGACGTTCATTACTCTCGTAAAAGTTGAAGTGGGTGCTGTTTGCCGACGGGGGGGGGTGGG